AGAAAGCCCCAGAGTTCTCAATTTTCATCCTCCATGCCTGTGCACACAACCCAACGGGCACAGACCCTACTCCGGACCAGTGGAAGCAGATTGCTGCTGTTATGAAGGTATGGGCTGCTGCTGGGGCTAAAGCAGAGCTGAGGGGACAGATAGCTCTTGAGCCAGCTGGAGGTGGGCTGCAGGGAATGGCATGAGATGTGGCAGGAGCTGGAAGAGTCCCACGGGGCAGGTGTTAAAAGGCAGAGGCTGGCAGGATGCTGCTCCTCTGTGCTCAGATAATAGAAGCATCCCACTTCTGCTTCCTCCAAGTTCTTGCTTTCTGACTCGGTGGCATGGGCTGCAGTGAGGTTTCTCATGCTGGAAAGATTCTCCAGCTGCACCTGCTCTCACTGGTGCTGGATAGTAGGAGGTGAGGTGAGGGATCTCTTGTGCTCTGTGTCCCCCAGAATGGGGAGGAGGCAGCTGGTCTATTTTTTTCCTGCATTTGGCCTTTTTGTGACCGCTTTAGTCTTCCTATTCCTTTACCCCAGTAGAAGGAAAGTATCCCAGTCTGGTGTTGCCGGACAATGTTTCCTTTGTATTCACCCAGAAGCTCAATGGTCATTTTTCCCTCCCGTGGGGACAGCGGGGGGGAAGGTGAAGGCTGTGGGGGAGGGGTGTCCCTCTAACACTGTTCCTCCTTGCAGCGACGGTTCCTGTTTCCGTTCTTCGATTCGGCGTACCAAGGCTTTGCCTCTGGCAGCCTGGACAAGGATGCCTGGGCTGTGCGATACTTTGTCTCCGAGGGCTTTGAGCTCTTCTGTGCACAGTCGTTTTCCAAGAACTTTGGGCTCTACAGTGAGTGTCTGGCAGTAAGCCAGTAAGCAGTGGCATCGTGCTCAGGCAGAGGGGGCTGGCATACTGGGGGGTGGGCTAGGGAGAGCTCTGCTTTGCCCTGATGCCTGGGACCGATGGCTCACCCCTCTTGGCTTGTCCACAGATGAACGTGTGGGGAACCTGACCGTGGTGGGGAAGGATGCAGACAACGTGCAGCGTGTGCTTTCCCAGATGGAGAAGATTGTGCGCACCACTTGGTCCAACCCTCCCTCCCAGGGGGCACGCATTGTGGCAACCACACTTTCTTCCCCGCAGCTCTTTGCTGAGTGGTACGTGTGTCCAGGGCTGGTGGGAGAGGGGAAGGAGGGGGAAAGCTGTCTCCCTGAGTGCCAGCCTTGGCCACGTGGCTCCAAACCAGGGGGGTGCTTGTCCTCACACTCTGCTTCCTGCCTTCTGCAGGAAGGACAATGTGAAGACGATGGCAGATCGTGTCTTGCTCATGCGGTCAGAGCTTCGGTCTCGCCTGGAGTCCCTTGGGACCCCGGGCACCTGGAACCACATCACGGAGCAGATCGGCATGTTCAGCTTCACAGGGCTGAACCGTAAGTACCCAGTGACCTGGGGAAGGGAGGGTTGGGTGAGGACAGTTTTGCTGGGTGTAAGCTGGGCTGAAGCTGGGCTGAAGCAGTCCAGGCAAGAAACTCTTGGGGACCTCTCTGGAGACCCGTGCCTGGGTAGGGATGAAGCATCAGGCAGCCTGGTATCGCTGCCTCCGTGCCTGGGTAGGGATGAAGCATCAGGCAGGATTTTAGTGCTCAGTGCTGGAAGTTGTGTGCTTGTTGTGAAAGATTCAAGCAGCCCTGACTGGTTCTTTGGGCTTTTCTGAGCTGTGGGGTCACTGTTCTGACCTGATGTCCACTTTTTTTCTCCAGCTAAGCAGGTGGAATACATGATCAAGGAAAAACACATCTACCTGATGGCTAGTGGGCGCATCAACATGTGTGGCCTGACTACCAAGAACCTGGACTATGTGGCAAAGTCCATCCATGAAGCTGTCACAAAAATCCAGTGAAGCACATGAACAACCAAACTCACATGAAGTCACCAAAGCTGTAGTGTGTAGTCCCGTCTTTCTCTGCTCATGGCTTGCCTTGTCCCACACCTCTTGAGGGTTTAATAAAGATGGGGGCAGTAGCTCAATCAGGGATAATAATTTGTTGATACTTTTTGAAATACCCCTTGCAATATGGGTAAGGCAGTGGCCCCAGAAGGGTGGGAGCAGCATGACCTGCTTTGGCTCTTGTTTGACTGACAGCAGCTTGATCTTCAGGTACTTAGAGCTGTATCTTTAGCACATGCAAATCAGCTCCATGTAACTGCTCAGTTTGATCTAGGTGAAGTCTGGTGCCAGTGCAATATGCTGTAGGATAACAGCCCAAATCCGTCGGGATCTCGTATGGCTTGTAAACTAATGTCACTCTAGTATTTTGGGGGAAGGTGAAGCTGTCGCTGGCTTCCCCCCCACCCACTTCTGAGTCTTAAGCGAGCAAACATTCGTAATTGTGGTAATTGCTGCTTTGTGTTGCTGACAGAAGATTAAACCTCCATCTCTGAACACTACCCCTGCCTTGTGTGATGCTGTGCTGTCAGGCTGTGCTGGCCTCTTCCCAGCGTGAGGATAAAGCCTCAGCATCCTGGTTTGTCTGCTGGGTCTTACTCCATTTGTTTCAAGGCTTTCCCGTTCTCCCTCCCGGTGTGTTGCAGTTCTGATGATCGTGGTTGCTACTAACAGGGCACAGTCCTGTTGTGAAAGTGTAGTGGAGAGCTCCCCGTGACTCTACACGAAGCTGACCTGTTTCTTCCACGTCTGGCTTGTGTTCTTCTTTCTGCCCCCTGCTCTGCTCTGCCCAGCCTCTCCTGTCCATCTGCATGTGCTTGCTTTCTGGAGGGCTGTGTGTTACCCACCCATCTGCCGTCCCTCCCTGGCCCAGAGCTCCCTGCCTGCTGTCAGTGTGGCAAAATGCGGATCTTCCCTCTTCTTGCTTCTCAGCAGGCCCCTGGTGAACCACCACCTCCTCTCCCTGGCTTCAGCGGGGCCTGTCAGCAACAGCCTGTGTTTCTGGCACTGGAAAAGAGCTGGGACCATCTGCTTCTGCTCTCTGCAGTCTCTGTCTGCAGCTCTATCTGTGATATATTATCACCTTGATAGAGCAGCCTCCTGCCAAGATCTTGGGGAAGAAAGAGGAACTTTCCTCGGGTCTGTTGGTGGTAGTCACTGCTGCCCTGATGGATCTCGCTTGTGCTGCAGCCTGGACAGCCAAGGTGGGAATGGTGCCTTATTCCCTTGCTGTGTTTGCAGAGAGACAGCACGTGGGGTCTTGTTTGTCCTTCTCAAAACAGCATTTGTGTCACATGGGAACGTGAGCCAAAGGCAGCCTTTCCTCTGTGCAGGTGGGGAGCTTCTCTGGGCATCCATCCACAGCTGGAATGATGGGGCAGTGGTTCAAGGGTCATTTCTAGGGGCCATCTCAGGAGAGGGAGTTGAAGGAACCAGCTCTCCTTTTGTTATTTCTGATGTCTGCCTACACTTCTGTTCTTGCAGCCCTGGGCATCCATCCACAGCTGGAATGATGGGGCAGTGGTTCAAGGGTGGTTTCTAGGGGCCATGTCAGGAGAGGGAGTTGAGGAAACCAGCTCTCCTTTTGTTATTTCTGATGTCTGCCTACACTTCTGTTCTTGCAGCCCTCTAGGTGCGGAGCTACCCCACACATGCTCCACACCAGTCCTTTGCTAGCCTTCCTAGCCTTGGTTTTCCTAATGGGTGACCTAAATTTCTCCCTTTCTGTGGTGTAAGCTCATTACCCATTATCCCATTTCCCATGGCAACAGAGGACAGATTATTCCTTTCCTCTTTGCAACAGCTTTTTATGTATCTGAAAACTTTCTCTCTCCCCTTCACATCCTTTACTGGTTGAGATTAAGCGACCCTGTTTCCTTCAGCCTTTGGGGTAGGTTGTTTTTCAGCCCTTGCTTTCCTCTGGCCTCCTTTCAATTGCTGGGTGTTTCCTGAGAAGGGCAGTGCCCGGACAGAGATGCAGTTGTTCCAGCTCAAGTTTTATCAGCAAATTTATGAGATTTCTGTCACTATCTGTCAGGCTCTACCAGCACATGTATCCCACTATTGTGTTTGCAACAGCACGATATTAACTCCTGATCTTCCCCAGCCCTTGTCTGCGCTTCTGTGGTGGGATTCTGAGTGCTGCCAAGGGCTTTCCTGGCAACACGAGCAACAGAGAGCCTGGGTTCACAGGGAGAAATTGGGAAGCCCTTGCTGACCTGGTCAGCCCCCCCTGGTTGGGGGTGACCTCCTCGAGAGCAGCTCTGAGAAGAAAGACCTGGGAGTCCTGGTGGACAACAGGATGCCCAGGAGCCAGCAATGGGCCCTGGTGGCCAAGAAGGCCAAGGGCATCCTGGGGGGCATCAGGAAGAGTGTGAGCAGCAGGTGGAGGGAGGTCATCCTGCCCCTCTGCTCTGCCCTGGGGAGGCCCCAGCTGGAGCACTGGGACCAGTTGTGGGCTCCCCAGTTCCAGAAGGACAGGGAACTGCTGGAGAGGGGACAGCAGAGGCTACAGAGATGATGAGGGGCCTGGAGCATCTCTCTGATGAGGAAAGACTGAGGGACTTGGGGCTTTTGAGTCTGGAAAAGAGAAGGCTGAGGGGGGATCTGATCAACACCTATAAATACTTCAAGGGTGGGTGTCAGGAGGATGGGGCTGGTGTTTTTTCAGTGGTGCCCAGGGACAGGACAAGAGGGAACGGGCACAAACTTGAACACGGGAAGCTCCACCTACACATGAGGAGAAACTTCTTTCCTGTGAGGGTGGCAGAGCCCTGGCAGAGGCTGCCCAGAGAGGTGGTGGAGTCTCCTTCTCTGGAGACATTCAAACCCCACCTGGACACGTTCCTGTGGGACCTGCTCTGGGTGGCCCTGCTCTGGCAGGGGGTTGGACTGGATGATCTCCAGAGGTCCCTTCCAACCCCAGATCATTCTGTGATTCTGTGACCTGGTCCTCCAGCAATGCTGAGTCCTAATACCCCAGCCACCTCTTGCTGTGGGTACGGGGGCAGCCAAGCCTGGTGGGAGAGGTTGGCAGGGCCTTCCAGTGACACAGACGGGGCTTTGCTCAGGGAGAAATCGCTTTTAATGTCAATATCCCCGTTGCGTTCAGCCTCTACAAAATCTACTGCTGGGTCTGTACCCACCCCAAGGCTTGGCGCCAGCTCCCCTGGCACAGACAGCCGTGTGGGGACAGGAGGATGATTCAATGTGGCGTGGAGCGGGTCTCCCCAGGGCGGGGGGCTGCGCCGGGCAGGGGGGTGTGTGTCCTGCCCTCTGCCTAGCAGGGCTGGGGGGGCGCGGGGCTGTGTGGATGGTCAGCGTGTGCGTGGCACTGGGCGCAGCACAAACGTGTGCTGGGGCCCTGAGCTGCGTGTGGCACCCCCCAAACAGCACGTTCTCCTCACGGGGGAGAGCACGTCCGTGCAGCACCCAGCACCGAGGGGCCGTGTGCCTGGCTGGGATGGGGGTGGTAAATGATGCTATGGGCAATTCTGGCTTGGGCCGCCCCTCCCTGCTCTGTCTGCAGGGATGCCGTGCCGGACACTTCACCTTTTCCTTTTTTCCACCTCTTCCTTGAGACCAGGTGCTACCAGGGAGCAGCTGGGCAAGGGCCCTCGGACTCCAGCGAGCCGGTCCGGCCCGCCCGGGTGGTTCAGCCCCGCCGGGGGCACGTCCTTTCTCGCCCGGGGATGGGGCTCCGCACAAGTCCTGCAGGGAGGGGCGGCACGAGCGGGCGGGCGGGCAGCGAGCGGGCGCAGACCTGCTGCTGTTGAAGACGAGCCTGGCGGCAGGAGACCCCCCATGCTGCAGACCTGGAAGACACAAGTACAGCCGGCCAGAGCTTGCCCTCCCTGACCTGCTGCTCAAGCCTGCAGCACGTTTCCGAGCCGGGGAATCGGTGCAGACACGCATTTCTAGCTCCAATTAGGGTCTCTGTCTCCCACATCCATCCCTGTCCCAAGGATGGCTGGAATCTGCTGCTACATCCCTCCACCCTGCTCCAGCCCCCGCCAGCATGTCCCTGCCTGGCCTCTAAAGTGCATGGCTTTGGCTTTGCTGCTTCAAACTTGTTTTTTGCACTATGAAAACCGGGCAATCCCCCATTTGCTGGGGAAGGAGCGTCGCACCAAGGGGCAGGTTCCTACCTCGGGTCTGCGTGGGCCTCCAGCCCTGTGCTCCGGCCACGCTGCTGCTCAGGTGATTAACGGGGCAAGATTGGAGCTCTCCTCCGGTGTCGGTTCACCCTCCGGTGATGCCCGCTGCTTGCGCCCACCTGCAGCAGCGAGAGTGTCCAGGGCTGGGGGCTGAGGTGCTCAGGGAAGGGGCTGCATGGACCTGGGCCAGGACCAGCAGCTGGTTCTACCCGAGGAGCAGTTTTGCTGGGCTGCTGCCGGGGAACCGGGCTGTCCCCTGCCCTGTACCAGGCCTGTGCAGGTGTCCCCCAGGACAGGGCTGGGGAAGAGATGACCCGAGCAGCTGGGTGTCCCCTGGGTGCTCCCATCCCTGGGTGAATCACTCACTGAGGGATCTCAGCAGCCTCCTGCCCAGCGTCTCCTCGGAGCTGCTCGGTGATGAGCTGGTAACGGGCTCTTTCCCCGGGGACTCTGCCTCCAGGACGGTGCCGGTGCCGCAGCACTCACTGTCTGCAAAAGCCCAGCCTGGCTGCAGCGCCCCAGAGCACGGCAGCCCCCGTGTCCCCCAGGGGAGGGGGTGTGTGTGTGTGTCCATCCCCACAGCCAGACTCACTCTGCCGCTTGCTGTTCTCCTCGTTGTCAGCCAGTTCCTCCTGGATGAAGGGGATGCCCTCCATGCGCAGGAACACGGACTCGCTGGGACTGCGCAGCCCCTCGGGGCGGCTGCCTGCGGGGACAGGGGCAGGGCTGGTGGCAGGGCAGGCGGGCGCTGTGCCCCGGGGCAGGAGGCAGCGGGATGCCAGGGACCCCCAGAACAGGGAGTGGGGATTTATGTCCCCGCACACTTGCACCCTTGCACACACGCAGGCACAGAACAGTGTCCACAGGTGTGTGCGTGCAAATGCCCACGTGCCCCAGCCTACGTGCAACCGTGTCTCAGCGGTGGTGTGCCCCTCATGTCAGCACGTCCTGGCATGTCCCCCCCCCAGGGGACAGGCCTCGTTGGCAGGGAAGGGATGCTGGGGGTGACTCACACATGGCGCTGTTCCTCTCATTCAGGAGGGTGGTGGGGTCCTCCTTGGGCGTCTGTGGGGTTCCCCGCGTGGTCGAGGCCTTAGTCGAATCTCTGTCGAAGGCCTCCATGTCGGGGGACTGGGGCGAGCTGTCCATGCGGCTGGCCACCAGCGCGTTGTGGTACTGCTGCCGGGTGACCTGGGCACACGGACAGGCGTGCCCAGCTCAGCAGGCACCCAGCCACACTGGGACCTTCTGGGGACTTGGTGGCACCAAACCCCAGTCAGCAGGAGTGTGTTACCCCCCCCCCGCAGCACCCACTGGGCACCCACCAGGCTCCTGCAGCACAGTGGGGCAGGGGGGTGCCTGGGGGGGGCACGGTCCCTGCCAGCCCAGCCGGTACCTTGACGAACTGTACGTCGCAGAGGATGTGGACGGAGTAGTCGGGGGTGTAGATGTTGTTGCTGCCGCTGTGGAGCTGTGTGCTGCTGCCCCCGTAGTCGTTGTGCTCCCGATTGGGGGACTCGGAGCGGTTGAGCCCACTGCACCGTGAGGGTGACCTGTTCACTGGGGGGGGGGACACACAGCAGAGAGGACAAACACTCACTCCTGGTGCTGCTTGGTTGGGTCCCCAGCGCTGGCACAGGGCACCTCTGGTGGCTGCGCACCACGGACACCGGGGCTGGCAGGGGACCTGCGGGGGGGTCCTCCCCGGTGCACGCTGTGCCCTGCCAGCCCCGGGCAAACCCGAGGGAGCGGGCAGGCACACGTCCCACCCGGTGCCAGCAGAGAGGTTAGGGCTGCTGCCCGCCCCTCACACCGGCTGACTGACAGCCCTCCCGCTAACGCAGCCCTTCCGCACGGCATTTGGCACAAATTCTGGTCACGGCTGGCAGCCCACAGGGCTTTACTCAACCTGCCCAGAGGGCACGCTCCTGTCCCCACCCCGGCTCCCACAGGGCAGGAGCAGAGGCTGCCAGGGCAAGCTGGCCTGTCACTCAGAGTGACTTACGGCCTCTGACACACAGCGTGATGGATTTTGTCTTGTCAGTGATTTATTAGGGAACAAAGGCAGCTTGTTCCTTGCACGGGTGACGCCAACATCTTGCTGACTTTGCTCTACTGCTAAAACGCCCTTCTGTTACCCCGATTGCCAGAAAGCCAGGGCAGCAGGGCAGCGTGCAGGCAGGGCTGCGGGCAACCCTCATCAGAAGCACCAAGTAGCAAGAAACCCCAAGCACTGAGTGCAGGAAATTACAGAAACTGCCCACCAAAGAGAGCCCAAGCTGTCCATGGCTCCCCCTTGTCCCCTTCCCATTCCTCCTGGGATTTGCATCATACTGGGGGGGCTGCAGGGCTGCTCGCCCCGCTCGGCCACTTGGTCTCCCACCAGCGAGGGGCTGCCCAGAGCGGGGAGCCATGGGTGCTCCTTTCCCAGTGCAGGGTGGAGGGGGGCACAGGGAGCTGGAAAGAGCCCGGCACACGCGGAGGTCCCTGCCCCGTTACCTGGAGAGCCAGCCAGGGAGTCCCCTCTGCTGAAAGCGAAGGTACGGGACACCGACACGGGCACTGCAGAGAGACAGAAGGAGGGGATGGGGGAAGTGAGGGTTGGGGACAGACTAAGAGGAAGAATGAGAAAAAGAATCATGTGCCAGCAGCCATGGGCTGGGCTCCCACCGCTGCCTCCAGCACCCCTTCCCACCTCTGCTTCTGCTCTGGGAGGTGCTCACTAGCCCCAGGGACAGGGACACAGACTTGGATGCTCTCTGAGAAGGTAAGAGGAGGTGAGGCTGGGAGGGACCAGCAAGGCCTGTCTGCACGGCCACACATCTCCCCAGAGCACAGTGTGGGCAGAAAGCATCTTCTTCTCATCGCCCGAGTGCTGACACCCTGCTCCAGCCCTCGGCCAGCTGCTGCCAGGAGAGGGAACTTTGTGGTCAGCTTGTGCCACCTGGGAGATGGGCGGAACCTCAACCAAGTCACTGTCCTTGGCATCTGGGATGCTTCTTTGTGTGCAGGCAGGTGGCAGAGAGGGACCTGCTTCTGCCTCCACACAGCCCCACAGGGGCAGGAGCCATTAGCACCATGCAAAGCAAAGGCATCCGTGATGGGCTGCCTGTGGCTCCCTGCAAGGCCCTGGGCCTCAACAAATTTGGGGTAATGCTGAGAAGAGCCACCCACTGGGAACTGATGATGAGAGGGCTGTAGCACCTCCCCTATGAAGACAGGCTGAGAGAGTTGGGCTTGTTCAGCCTGGAGAAGAGAAGGCTCCAGGGAGACCTTCTAACAGCCTTCCAGTACCTGAAGGGGCTCCAGGAGAGATGGGGAGGGACTCTTGGTCAGGGAGTGGAGCCATAGGACAAAGGGTAACGGTTTTAAACTGAAAGAGGGGAGATTTAGATTAGAGACCAGAAAGGAATTCTTTGGTGTGAGGGTGGTGAGAACCTGGAAGAGGTTGCCCAGAGAAGCTGTGGCTGCCCCATCCCTGGAGGGGTTCAAGGCCAGGCTGGATGGGGCTTGGAGCAACCTGGTCTGGTGGGAGGTGTCCCTGCCCAGGGCAGGGGGTTGGAACTAGATGATCTTTAAGGTCCCTTCCAACTCTGACCATTCTGTGATTCTATGATTCCTATGCCAGGAATCCGTGTCTGGGGCTACCTGGCCCATCACCACAGAGAGGGCGAATCACAGGCCACTAACTTTCCACACTTGATTGCCACAGGGTACAGCAGCAGCAACAATTTGAAGGGCAGGTGTTCCCCCTCCTTGTGACCCACTGCCTGCGGGGAGCTGCCCCACTGCCCACCACGGCACCCCTGGGCTGCAGGGAGTGTGGGGAGACCAACATGCAGTGTGAGTGATGTGTTCCTCAACACCTTCCAGGGCACCACCGTGGCTCTCAGGGCTGGCAGCACCCACCTCCAAAGCAGTGGCAGACGTGAGCCTGCTGGCTGCCAGCCCCCTCCTAACCCCATCCCCCAGGGGCTGTCCCCCCTGCCCAGGGCATGCTGCCCTCCCTCCAGCCACCATGCCCACAGCGTGGCTGCAGCGCTCTAGGAACCACCTGCTGCCTATGTGATTAATGTTTTTAAACTGCTTCAAAGGTAAAAAACCCAGGAAACTTGCCCTGCAGCCCTCTCCTTCCCATCTCCCCGCTCCTCCCCCCCTGTAATTCTGCTCTGCATCCTCCCCTGGGCTGAAACCTCCTCAGAACAGAAGTCGAAGCAAAGCACCAGCACGAAGCACTGCCCAGGACAACCTTGTCCATCTGGGAGCAAAGGACAGGTTGATAACAGGTTGATAACCACCAGCATTCACTCCCCGCTCTCACCGCCCGACCCCCCCAGCAGCTGCCAATGCCAAAGATTGCCTGGCGATAAAAAAAGTTGCGTAACAATGGTTAATTAATAACAAATTGCTCCATGCTCACGGGTTAATGGCTGAATTCCCTGCTGTGACACGCTGCTCACGCTCATTCCCGCTGAGCTTTGCTTCAAGGAGGAGGAAGGACACCAGCCCGACAGGGGAGATGCCCCGCGACCCGTGCCTGCCACCTCGCTGGCCAGGGGTGCAGCACCGCACACACGCTGCACACACACTGCACACACGCTGCACACGCATTGCACACGCGTGTCACAGCAGGCAGGGGTGGCAGAAAGCAGCAGCACCCCAGCAGGCAACACCGCAGACACGCGTGGCCACAATGGCACGGCTCCCACTGTGGCTCGTGCCCTGCCCATCCCATGGCCCGTGGGCACCACTCGCCACCTGAGCCCCAGGGGGGGCCCTGGGGACGGTCACCGAGGGCACAGGGGCATCAGGACACGCAGCAACATCCCAAGGGAAACTGGCTGCTTCACTGACTTCCTCTGCCCAGAGCCAGCGTGCGGTGGGTGTACGGGGGAGCAGGGATGTGCACGGAGGGTTAATCCAGCAGACCAGGAGCCTTTCCAACAGAAGCAAAGCGAGCAGCAAGAAACTGGTGAGCTGCAGGCATGATGGGACCCACAGGAGGGACAGTCACCTGCGACAAGGGACTCTCCCCTCTTCTCTCTATGACAACCTTTAGGCACCCAGAGCATCCCTGTCTCACCACTGGCACTGCACATCCCGCTGCCACACCGACGCTCTGGGATGAGGGACGTGCTGAACTGGGAGCGGGCAGCTGCTCCCAAGCCACCAGGCATGAAGCAACTGCAGGGGTGATCAGCAAAGAAGTGGGGAGGATCAGAGTCCCCCCTGACCAGAGCTCCCTCTTAACTCCTGCAAGCAGGGGATCCGCTCGTTAACGCATCAGCTCTGCAGGGGATTCACCAGGACCAGGGCCTCTGCTTTTAACCCTGTGGATTTCCCACACCCCCAGGTGTGAATGCCTCACTGGTAAATCGACCCCTCTCCGCAGTTCCCAAAAAGTCCCTCTTCCACCAGTGTGGGACTCGTGTTCAGCCCAGGCGCCAAGCCTCTGGAATGTGAAAGGCTCCAGAGATGTTAAGCTGAGCCCTAGATGCACTGTGCCAGGATCTGCAGGGTTTATTGCTTCCACCCATGTGGGCACCCTGCTGGCAGTGCCCCTTCCAGTGCCAGCCACGATGGGATCCACCTGCAGGGATCCCAACCTCAAAGGGACCTCAGAGTCCCTCTGTGGGGACTTTGCTGGCTCAGCCCCTCACTGAGTTTTGTAAAAGCTTTGTAGAAGCTCAGGTCCCAGATGAGGAACTGCTGGAGAGGGGACAGCAGAGGCCACAAAGATGATGAGGGGCCTGGAGCATCTCTCTTACAAAGAAAGGCTGAGGGACTTGGGGCTTTTTAGTCTGAAGAAAAGAAGGCTGAGGGGGGATCTGATCAACGCCTATAAATACTTGAAGGGTGGGTGTCAGGAGGATGGGGCCAGTCTTTTTTCAGTGGTGCCCAGGGACAGGACAAGAGGGAACGGGCACAAACTGGAACATGGGAAGTTCCATCTAAACACAAGGAGGAACTTCTTCACTTTGAGGTGGCAGAGCCCTGGCAGAGGCTGCCCAGAGAGGTGGTGGAGTCTCCTTCTCTGGAGACATTCAAACCCCCCTGGACACGTTCCTGTGCAACCCGCTCTGGATGGCCCTGCTCTGGCAGGGGGTTGGACTGGATGATCTCCAGAGGTCCCTTCCAAGCCCAGATCATTCTGTGACTCTGTGAAAAGGGGTGACGTTGATGCAGAGCCCAAGCTGCTCTTTGCAGGGTGCAAACCCAAGCCTCCTCCAGCCATCCGGTGCTGTGGAGGAGAGGTTTTTAGTGCCCCAGCCTGTCTCAAAATACTTACGTAGGAAGGAGGATCCAGCCAGGCTGCCCACTTTCCGCACATCGTTATCTGAAACAACAGTTGGAGTTGTAGGATTCACAGAGGAAGGGCTCCCACCTGCCCTGTGCCTCCCAGCAGGGCCACCTCACCCCATGGCCAGCCCATTCTTCTGGCCATCAGCCCACTTAGTCCCTGTGGAAGCTGCTGAAGTGAAGGCAGGGCTGGAGGGAGCCCACAAAGCCCTTACCCGAGGAGACGACAGCCATGATGGCAGGGACGCCATAGTAGGTGAATGCCCCGTTCTCAAACCGCAGCCCTTCCTTGCCAACCTCCACCTCCACTTTCCCCTGGAAGGAGAAGGAAAACTCCCTCAGGTAGGCACCCTCTGCTCCTGGCCACTGACCCACCCAGGGGGCTGCAGGGACCCACAACACCCCATATGAGAAGATGGACACCTCCGCTGGCAGAAGCAGCCCAGATTAAGGCGGCAAGGAGAGATGGGCCACCCCCTGCCACTCTCTGCCCCCCGCTGCCCCGGGCACCTGTAGGATGAGGACGAAGTAGTCAACGGGGCGGTTGCGCTGGTAGAGGTAATGCTCTGCTGCCTTTTTGTTCTTTCGGTCATACTTGAGCTCCTGGATGACGTTGGGGTGTTTCAGGAGCCGCAGCAGGATCTTCTCGGAGAGGTAGGGTGACTTGAAAGGCTCCACTTCTAGAGGGGAGGTCACACACTCTCGCTCAGCGAGGCCAGGACTGATGGGAGCCCCCGGTCCCCTGAGCTGCACGGCCCCCCCTTCCCACAGCCTGTGCACCCCACTGCATGGAGGGGAGCCAAGCACAAACCCATGGTGGTGGAACAGCCCAGAGTGGTGGAAACTGCTTGCTGGGGGGACGCCCAGCACGGAAGGGCTGAGGGATGCCCTCCCCATGGGGCTGGTGAGACAGGGCTTGCCCCAGGGGAAAGGTACCTGTTGCCATGAAGCGATGGGTTGCCAGGAGGAGCTGTGGGGAGATCTTCACCTTCATCTCGCTGTCCGAGAGCCTGAAGATGGAGAAGTCCTGGGGCTTGCGTCCCCGGTGGGGCACCCGCTCCTTCTTCCGATTGTCCGCTGTGGGGCAGAGAGCAGCCCAGTTGCCACTTGCAGCAGCCACAAAAAAGGCCAGTGCAGTTGCAGGGCCCCCCTCCACATGCACACCTACACCCCCGCGGCAGGGCTGCGGTGGAGCCCTGTGTTACAGCCTGGGGAGCAGCCCCCTGGGGAGGGAGCAGGATGCTGAAACATGCTTCTTTCTCAGGAACATGTCCTGGGTTGCCCTGGCTAGATGCATCACCCAGAGTTGGAAAGGAGCTTGGGAACCACCCATGGGCACGTCAGGCCCAACACACGTGTCCCTGGGTCAGGCCCTGCCAACCACCAGCTGCTGAGGCTGGTGCTTCTCTCTCTCCAGCATTCAAGACTCCCTGACATCTGACCAGCATCTCTCCATCATTCTTGTCTTTCCCATGATGACTGTGAATTGCTCTGGGGAAGGACCACGATTTGCTCTCCCCTGTTTCCTACCCACATGTCTGTCTGTCTGTCTGTCTGTGCGGGCTCCCACCCTGGGTCCTGCAACCGCAGGAGCTGCTCTGGGACACTAACTGTACAGATCCGTCTCATCCAGGATCTCGGACTTGATGATCTCCTCAATGACATCCTCCAGGGTGACAATGCCCATCACCTCGTAGAATGGGTCTCCTTCCCCTTCGTTGTTCACCCGCTGCACGATGGCCAGGTGGGACTTTCCTGTGGGGGAAGAGCAGAGCAGCAGTGAGACCCCCACCCCTGGCGAGAGGGGTCCTCACACAGCACACTGGCACACGGGGCTTGGTGGGAGGCACAGATCGTGGCCAAACCTCAGAAGCAGCTGCTGTCACCCAAACCCACCCCAACGGCAGTGACACACGGCGCAGGGCTGGACACACAGCCCAGCCCAACAGGGCTGCTGCTCTCCAGGCTGGTTTCTAGATGTCACAGGACTCCGCCTGCCTCTTTTTTGGGGCCGCTTGCTCGCTCTACCCAAGCAGTCTGCTGCGAGTCTCTCCCTTCAGCTCTTTGACAGCCTCCTGGGCAGGATGAAGTGTGCATTACACCAGCTGCTTCTTGCCTGCCCTCGGCTTCACTGGCACGAGACAACTCTAAGAGAGCAAGGAGACAGCATCCTCCAACACAGAAATGTGAGCGTGTCCTTGGGCTCTACTGGTTTTCCTCATCCTCCCAGTGTTTTCTCATTCTGCTGTTAATTATCTTTCCTATCAAATTGCCAGGAACAGCTCCCCCACATCTTTCTATCCATCACTGTCTGGACCGATCCTAAAGCTTTTCTTAAAATATGGGCAAAGCCTCCAGCTCCTTGGAACAACAGCTGGTTTCAATGCAGAAATTCGAATGTTTGTTTGCAGCTTTCAGCCCAGCTCCTGCAGAACACTTGGGTGAACCATCTGGCTGTGGAGGCTGATTGCTTTTCAAGCCATCGCCTTGCACCTGAATGCCTTCTCCAAACCCTGCCCCTGACAGCACCTCCTCTCTGTTACCTTAAACAAGCAGACTGGGACCAGGCCCTTCAGCTGCAGTGATGGTGACTCCCGCTTGGAAGTCGCAGTGTTTCTCAATCACAGTTTCTGGTTCCTCACTTGTCCCCAGTAAGCTGGCAGATCTGCTGACACATTCTCAGGCTTCTTGCTTTTGGCATACTTGAAACATCGCTATTTGTTTTCGCGTGTCCAGCTCTCTGTAAGCTGTTTTGACTTCTTCAACTTCTCCTTTCCTTTATTCTCTGCTTTGATTTATGCTCCTGCTCAACAGCTTGACCAGAACCCAATTTCCAACCCACAAACAACTTCTGGGTTTCTAGTTCCAATGTATTCTTGGACCTGCCAACGAACAGCGCTGTTTTTCTTGCTGCCTCTGCGGCTCCTTCGCTGCTCAGCACCACACACAGGTTCTGGACCTCTAGTTTCACTTAAAACGTTAAAAATGTCCTTCATCGGCATCACAGCCAATACCTTCCCCTCCCTGTGCTCTGCGTCCCTGGGGTCTCCTGGTGCAATGTCCACCCAAACCCAACTGTACCGTGGACACTGCAGGGACCTCCAGAAAGCTGCAAATTCATTTTCCCAATGGGCTCAGAGCTGAGCTCCTCGAGCAGAAACGGTCACACAGAAAGGGGAGCATGTTCCTTCTGCTCTGCAGCTGCCTCTGCATCTGCTTCTCTCATAAAGCCTCCTCAATAAACCTGCCTGCTGCTCCGGGCGAGGGGATGGGAACGGTATTTCTGCATAAAGATGGACCATGGGTGTGCTCCTGCTGCACAGCTCCCTCCGCGCACCCCGGTGCCTCCTGCCCCGTCCCCACAGGGGGACAGGGACGAGCACATCCAGGGCATCCTGGCAGTCCCACCAAACACATCTCTCCGGGGACCGAGAGACCTTCAAATAACCCTGCCCTGGATCCGAGACGAGCAAACGATATTTCTCAGCCAAAGATCAGAACTATACGTTTCTCACAGCAAAGCTTGGGCATTTTCCACAGTATAAATTCCCTCCTCCTCATACCAAGCTTTTATTGCAGGATTTCAGAGAGCAGCTCGCTGCCTCCCACGCCTACAGAATTAGAAACAAGAACAACATCGCAGCAAGTAGCACCGAGATGCACTTTAAAAAACCAGATCAGTAGCCTCAGGGCACTGAAAATGCAGCATGTTCTTTGGACCAGGCTATTTCACTCCTTCCACAGATGGGTTTGTGCACCTTGTCTGTTCAGTGGGTAATAAAGCAACATGACTTTGAGACTTAAAAAGAAAAAAGCAGCAGAGTTGGCCGCAAGACAGCAGCAACAGCTACGTTTCATCTTAGCGAAGTCCAACTTTTGAAAATGTCTCCTTTGCCAAACCCCGCTCCCAAGCACTGGGGCCATCTGGTCTCCTCCGAGCCCGCGGGTGAGCAAGGAGAGGGGAGAAGTTATTTCTTTTGGCCGAAAGCTTGTTGTTAATGACATTTACATGCAACCCAAAACCACTGAGCCCTTACAAAAAGCTTAGGTGCTACTTAAAGGCAGTCAGAGAGTAATGGAGGCAATTCTTTTTTTGGCTAAACACCTCCACCGACGCTGCAATTTACTCTAGAGCAGCCTCAGAGAAATGTGATTCCAGCTCCATGCTCACGTAACGGCAAATGAGATTATTTAGAAATAATCCAGCACTGTTAGTCTGGGAGGAGACCCACGGTTTCTCTGCGCTGGGGGCAGAGCCAGGAGGGCTGTTAGAGTGCTCAAGAGTTCTTTATTTTCACAGAAAATAAACACTTGCAGCCACGCTATAAACCCCCACGTTTAGGTTTCCAGGCTCTAACACCCGTGTTGGAGATGGAACAGGTACCCAGCCATGGAAAGGTGCTGTGATTCCTGCAGTTGCTCCTGGACCACCCTGAGTGGGCTGATCCCTGGCCAGGCAGCTGGCACTCGTACCACAACCCCCCAAAACCCACTCCCAGCCCCCCTGAGATGGTGGCTGCTCCCAGCTGGCCCCTGCTGGGACTGGGCCAGCTTGCCCTGATGTCCCACCTGAGGGACATGAGATCCATTGCAAAAAATCCTGCAAACCAGCTGGCCAGGCAGCTGGCACTCGTACCACAACCCCCCCAAAACCCACTCCCAGCCCCCCCCCGAGCTGGTGGCTGCTCCCAGCTGGCCCCTGCTGGGAATGGGCCAGCTTGCCCTGATGTCCCACCTGAGGGACATGAGATCCATTGCAAAAAATCCTGCAAACCAGCTGGGTCCTGCCTTTCTTCCTGTCAGTTTTTGAACAGACCTTATAAATTTGGGCAGCAGGGGTGCTCATAGGTGCCCTGGCTGTATGGTCATGGCATGTTCCCTCATCACAGAATTGTCGGAGTTGGAAGGGACCTCTAGAGACCCTCCAGTCCAACCCCCCGGCCAAAGCAGGGCTGCCCAGAGCACATCACTCAGGAGCATCCAGGCGGGGCTTGAAGATCTCCAGAGAAGGGGACTCCACACCCTCCCTGGGCAGCCTCTGCCAGGGCTCTGCCACCCTCACCCCAAACAAGTTCTTCCTCACATTGGAGTGGAACTTCCCATGGTCCAGCTTGTGCCCGTCGCCCCTCGTCCTGTCCCTGGGAAGGACTTAGAAGAGGTGCTCATGGGCTGGGGATGCTGCCAAAGTTCCCCTTCCCAGCCCTGGGAGCTGCTACACTCGCACAGAGGAGAAGGGGTGGCTTTTGGAGCAGGAAGGAGGGCAGAGACCGGGCAATCTTAGGAAATTGAAGCAATGTCCAAGGGAGGGTGGCACAGGGACAGACCCAGGGACGTGAGAGGGGTCACATTCTCCTCTCTAGCTGTTCCCCAGCAGGTCTGCCTCGGTGGGAGTACGACGGAGGGAGATAAATCATTTAAACAAAACTCTGAGCTTGATCTAAACCAGCTTTAAGGTCTGTAAAGCTGATTCCAAAACCTGTGCTATTGTAACCACCGCCTGATGGCTCAAATGAAATGAATTATAAGGGCGAGCTGCTTCCCCACTAGCAAGCTGTCACATGTGAATTTTACAGAGCTATCACTGACGCAGGAAAGCACAGCGAAACACTTGAGAATCAAAGCCTTAGTTTGGCAAATGCTAGAACAAATGGGCAATTAACTTCACTTGTGTGAATAGCTGCACCGGCCTCCGCAGGACGGCTCTCGCACAGGAAGTCTATAGGTGATTAAGTGTCTGCTCAGCATGGGATACAACTGTACTAAATTCTTTATGAGCTACATGAAATCTGCTCTTTTCAAACAACAGTGTCAGTGGAAAGTTAAAGCCTCAAAATGCTAAATTACAGAGCTAATATAAACAGCTGAAAGCTTCCGGATGGAGCAAGCATCTGAACAGATATCTAAAGCTTTTATGCCCATTTTTAGGAGCCTCGTTTTTCATAGGTACCTAAATGGCCTTGGGCTCATAGCTTCACCTCAAAGCGTCCTCCCCAGTGGGAGAACAGGGTCTGAACACATGGAAATGCCTTTACTTGTGGGAAAGAAAGTGCTGTTGGCTGCAAATACAGCCCAGGCTACTTCCTTATCATATTTTTTTATGTAGGTGCTCTGCCAGAGGAATGCTAAAGATGCTTCAGTCTTGTCTCTCATTCCATGGGATGAGCATTTGGAGCATGAAATTTATTTTCATGAATTTTTACAGTAAGATCTAAAGCTGTTACTAGGAGATCAAAGGTACAGGCATAAGCCATGAACCATTTACAGCTACAAAATGGAAGACAAACAAACAAATGGAGTAATTGGTAAATAAGGCTGTTTCGTGAAACAACCAAATCTGCAACCGAAATCTGCTTTCTGTGTGCTTTTCATCAGAGCTCTTCTCTGGGCCAGGGGCTCCCAGCATCTCTGTGCCTCCTCACAGACCCACGTCTGAGCTACGTGGGGACCCTGATTTGAACTTCTTGAACTGGAAAGGTGTGTGTGTGTGCTCTTGTGTTACCACGACTCTGCACCAAGGGCGAAAGCAGACGCCTGAAGAGTTGCACATAGAGGTGATGCACATCTACACCTCAGTCGGGGGGGGAGGAAATAACCAGGAGGGCTGTGGGGGCACGCAGCTCCACAGGGAATCAGAGCTACGCCAAGGGAAAACTGTAAATCCTAATCTAATCCAGATCTTCTGCAGAGATGAGAACTTCATCTGCTTACATCTGTCTCTACCAGAGTACTAAAGTCGTTCTCCTTACTCTGCCTCG